TTGCTGCTGCCACCACCTTCCCCTATTCATTCCCCATTATTCTTCATCGAGTCTAGAGCTTTCTAGGTTTTATTCTTCAACAAGAGCAACGTTCATTAACCCGCCACCGCTTCCCCTATCAGTATCACTATCTAAATCCACAGTCGCCCAGTACCCACTAAAGTTATACCCATCCCCGCCCCAATTCGAGCGGGTACGGTGTAGAATCCACGAAATTGTACCTGTTTGCCATCCCTAGGTGGCGGATTGTATCAAATTGATGCCACAGTGAATGATCAGCATAATGGTGCAAATAATTTAGAAATAAATGTAGTTAATAAAGTTTCAGCTGATATGAAAAATTCTTATGTCTTGTGGCACATGAGACTTGAGCATCCTACTCATGCTTCACTTGTAAAAGCTTGTAAAAATGTTGGCATTATTTTTCCTACTACTGCAAATACAGTGAATGATGATATGTGTGTTTCATGTAAAATGGGAAAAATCCATAAGATTCCTTTCAATGAATCCTCTATGGTTTATACTAATCTCTTCCAACTTGTTTTCTCAAACTTATAGGGGCATTCTCATATTGCTTCAAATAGTTTTTATTATTATGTCTCGTTTGTTGATGCTTACACGAGATATTGTTGGGTGTATTTATTGAAAACAAAGGACCAGGCTTTATAAGCTTATCAGTTGTTTTATGAAATGGTCAAAACTCAGTTTAGTGTTATGATTAAAGAAGTACAAACGGACTAGGGGTGAGTATCGTTCTATATCTCCTTTATTAACAAAGCTAGGTGTTCATCATCGATTGTCTTACCCACATACTTCATAACAGAATGAAGTAGTTGAGAGGAAACACCACCACATTATTGAATCGACCCTTGTTTTGATAGCTCAAGCATCCTTACGATTTAGGTTTTGGTCTTATGCAGATAGCACTGCAGTTTATCTAATCAATCGTCTTTCCACACATGTTTTGCAAGAAAAATCACATTTTGAAGTGTTGTACAACAAATTACCAGATCATGAGTTTTTAAAAGTATTTGGGTGTAGGTGTTTTCCTCATCTTCGTCTTTATCAAAGTCATAAACTCAGTTATAGGTCACAATCGTGCACCTTTCTTTGATATAGCTCACAACACAAGGGATATCAGTGCATGGCTTCTGATGGGAGAATTTACATCTCGAGGAATGTTATTTTTTATGAACATTTTTTTCTTTTACAGGTAAACAAGATGTTGTTATTAAAAACAATGGACAAAACCCTACAAAGTCGTCTATATAGCTGTCAGTGGTTGATGGTGTAAGAAGGGTTTGTATGAGAATGGGTGTGTTACACGAAAATCAAGAACGATCATCTATCTTGCATATGGAACCTAACACGATGTCTCAAGATAGAGGACAACAAATGTCTAGTACTAGCCCTGTTATGAATTCAGTTGGGGGAAGTATGGAGCACTCGAATGCATTCAAAGAAGACACTACAAATCAGTTACCTAATGGTGCTAGTTTGGCTCAAAGTGAGTCACAAGGTGTGATGCAGAATACTTGTGATGAAGTGCAGTCAGTGGTTGATCCTGTTACTGGACATCATATGATGACCAGGAGCAAATGTGGAATATTCAAACCAAAACTCTATTCCATGATTCCTATAAAAGCTGAAAAGGAACAAATCTTGATATACGAGGCATTACAGTCTTGACGACAGACATAATAGTGATTATCCTGTAGGCTAGCTCCGACAGACGATTCACAAGAGAAAATTCACCCAAAAACCAGAGAAAAAAAAGTCTCTAGGGTTTAATAAAATATTATAAAATCAAAATTGGGAGATCAACACATTGTCACTTGTCAGTTTACCAAATGGGAGATCAATATTGGGATACAAGTGGATCTTTCGAATAAAGAGGAATGTTGATGGAACTGTGCAGAGGTATAAGGCAAGGCTTGTGGCCAAGGGATTCACACAAGTCCCTACACATGATTTTCAAGAAAATTTCAGCCTGGTAGTCAAATCCTCTAATATTAATGTCATGTTAGCACTTGCAGTTCAGAATAAATGGGAGCCGAGGTAAGTGGATGTGAACAATGCCTTTTTAAATGGTGATCTTCATGAGGACGTATTCATGCAACAACCTCAAGATTTTTAGAAGGAAGCACCAGATGGCTCTCGATTGGTATGCAAATTACAAAAGGCTTTGTATAGGCTTCGACAAGCCCCGCGAAACTGGTTTGCTAAGTTGAGAAGTTATGTGATTAGCATTTGTTTCAAGAGTACACAGACTAACATCTCACTCTTCATTAAGCAAGAAAAATGACGAGTAATGTATATTATGGTTTATGTCGATGATATAATCATCACTGGCTGCTCGAAGGATGAGGTTGAGAATGTAGTTGTTTTGCTAAGCAAGAAGTTTTTCTTAAAAGATCTTGGTCAGTTGAATTTTTTTCTTGGTATTGAGGTTAAGCGTGCAGGTGGTGCTATTTTTCTTAGCCAAAAGAAATACATCATGGAGTTGTTAACCAAGGCACTAATGGATATATCTGCCTCACCGCCCACACCTATGATCTCTTCACTTAAGCTCTTCAAAGAGTCAGGTGATGAGTTGAATGATGCAAAAGAGTATCGAAGCCTGGTGGAATCACTCTTGTATGCTTGTCATACGAGGTCAAATATTGAATTTAGTGTGAACAAGTTGGCTCAATTCATGCAAACACCCTGGGAACAACTTTTTGTTGCAGCAAAACAGGTTCTACGTTACCTTCGAGGGACCCTTGACTATGGGCTGGTGTTTTCTCCGAGTGATGAGCATTTTCAACTTACAGCATTTGCAGATGTTGATTGGGGAGGTAGTGTAGATGACCAGCGTTCAATATCCGGGTGTTGTGTGTATCTAGGAGGTAATTTAGTTATGTGGAGTTCAAGAAAACAAAAGAATGTTTGCAGGTCTACTACTGAAGCCGAGTATCGAAGCTTAGCAGATATTACATCTGTTGTAACTTGGTTGGACGCATTAATAGCAGATATGGGAGTTTGAGTGCAAGCTTCACCAGTTATTTGGTGTGATAATTCAAGTGCAATTGCAATGAGTGAAAATCATGTGTATCATTCGAAGACTAAGTATATTGAACTTGATGTTCATTTCGTTAGGGAAAAAGTAACAACATGGAAGTTGAAGGTTAATTATGTGCCTACTGAACATCTGGTTGCTAATGGATTAACTAAAACGTTAACAAAAGATCATTTTGATACGTTTCGACAAAAACTGGGAGTATTACCATTTGAAAAATTGATGTAGCAAGAAGAATATTGTTGAACGTGCTCGCACTGAAGAGTTGAAGCAGCAGGGAGGATGTTGAAGAGTTGAAACAGCAGGGAGGATGTTGAGCATATTCTGGAAGATGTCAACTCAGCATATTTAATTGTTAGGCTTAACAACCTTGGCTATTCTGTTACTATGAACTATATAAATACAGTGTAGTGCTTTGTAAACGAGGAATAAAATAAGATTCTTGATGTTCTTCTTTACTTTGCTTTCTCAACATCGCCTCCAAGCTTCAACCACACACTTTGTTTGGGGATCATAAACAACGGTTTCTCCGAGATCTGCAACGGAATTATCGTTGGATTTTGATTCGTTCTTGATGGGCTTTAATTTTTTGGCTTTTCCAAAGCTTCCTTCGATTGATCATCCCAGGTCTAGCTCGATTTCATCTTCTCTCAACCCCATTATCCCACAGTTGTTTTCCATTTCAAATTGCTAAAAAAAAAAACGCTTCTTCCTAAAACCTCATGCTACAAACGAAGAATCCAAATATTATGAGAACAAACAATGAAAATGTACTCATTTTGTACGGGTATTTGCGTTTATATTGCTTCCCTCTTTTGAATTTAGATTTTCAGGGGAGATAAAAGGGAAGGGGAGAATAGATAGTAGGGAAGGCCCGGAAGGCTTCGTGTCGAGATGGTTAAAGGGGAGATGTTTACACGTAAGAGTGTTTTTGGACATATGTGGCAGGATTGGAATTTAAAACTATTTTAATTAAATTCTTAAAAAGTTGATGTTCTATCAATCAGATCCTTAATCAATCTTTAATTTTAGCTCATATTTGACGTAAAACGTGTTTAAAATATATATACGTACAAAGAAATGTTTCTTAACATTCTACTTTGTTGTGCAAATCGCTAAGAAATCAATTTTGGAATTAAGGATAGTGAGAGAATGACACGTGGCTTGGATGCATGCATGAAGAGCTGGTCAGGAACAACAATGGTAGCGTAGGAACTTTCTGAATACTTCTGCCATTATACGGGCACGTTGTCGCAGATCTCAACCGTTCTATTCAAGCATTCAATTATTCATTACGTTAAACGTGGCGGATCCTTAGATACGAAACGTGTAGGATGTCGTGAGGGTATGGCCCTTGTTGGCTATTGCGACCGCGACGCGTGGGTGGTATCACAGCTGGATCAGATTATTCAGGGTCAAGTTGCTTTTTCGAGGGGTGTACTGACGTGGTGGAGCTGTTTGGATAAGAAAAGATCACGTGGCGACAGTAAAAGGGACGAGGGATGAGGTATGCGGCGATACGCGGGATAGGCCGGACCCAGTGTGGCCCAAAGTTTGGAACTTGAAGGTAGAGACGCATGGAGGACACGTGGTGAAAGTAGAGAAATCACTAGCTTTCCTGGAGCAAATGGGTGATGGATTGCAGGTGATAACGATGGAACAATAAATCAAAATAATAATAATAATAATAATAACGATGGAACAGATCAACCAAAAGCGAAAAGTCTAGGATAAGACTAGAGAAAAACAGAACCATAGAGGTTGAAATTATAATGATCGAAAAAAATACAAATACCAAAAATGAAATTTACCCAAAGATTTCTAAAACGTTTTGATTTTAATGTGTATCTATATCATGGTTGATGATCCAAATACCCAAAGATAATGTTAAATTGAATTAAACGGTTCCACAGATTCAACTAGAAACCAACTGACCCGGACAATCAAAATCACTTCCAAAGAGATTCCAGAAAATTGTACCGCAAAAAGGCATGTTATAGCTTTTCGAATCAAACTTCAAAACAGATGAACTTGCCTAACATTAATTTCATAAAAATCTCTAAACTGGCATCCTCATTACTAGTTGGCCCTGCATAAAGCTGCCACAAAAATATTAACATATAGAATTATTATTTGGTACACTATTTTATCGTATATTGTGGACATAGGGAGAGAGATAAAAGAGAAAATGGCTGACCTCTTAATATAATAATAACAAAAGTCAACCAAGATGAATGTTTGAACAATTTCAGCAAGGATAACCATCGGGAACCACAGATAACCATATCCAAGCAAGAACAGATAACTCCCTCCTGTCTCATAAACCTTACATGTACAATATACAGGATCCGTTCACATTAATGCGTTTTAATCATGTCTAACGATTTAATTAATTCTATCTCAAGTATACATTATGTAGAGATTATGAAATTAACCTGGACGATCCAATGAGCGCAGGAGAGGAATCTGGCGACACCAAGTGCAAATACATAATGGGCCGTGAATGGTTCGATCATCTGAAAAATTCGAATAAAATATCAGCAAATTCATCATTTCTCGTATATCTGATGTTTATGATAAATAATAATGGATGATGAAACCTTTGCATTCTTCATCATACGAAGCTGTGGCACCACTGAAACTGATTCCAGATAAACACAAAAGGCCCAGAGAACTTGACTGATGTATGTGGATGTACCAAATGGGTGGATTAACACGGCAAGTACGGCACATGGCACCAACTGTAATTGTGCACGACAAAATATTATGATCAAGCTCAAAAAAAGGGGAAAAATGGGTGAAGTTTGCGATTACCAAATAGTAGATGGGGAAATTATCAAGCTCCTTGATGTAGGAGGACTTCAACTTGAATCGAATCATGTACATAACCCATGCGGTGAAAACAAATGTGGCGAGATCCAGCAATGTATGGATGTCACCTTCCAACATGAAGCTGCACACTATTCTTGCCGCTAAAAACATGGCTGTGAGTTGTTGAGTCTTCAACGAAAGCCCTTAACAACAAAACACTTGACTACTTCACTAAATCACATCACATACATACATACATACGTGGATGAGTGTTATATGTAAATACCAGAACATGTCTTCTTGGTGGTAAGCTTGTAAATCAAAGCAACAATCCCAGCCACATGGATGAACTCGGAGGCAACAAAGAAGTGATTATGATTTTTCACCGTGAGCTTCAATACCGCGAAAGATAACACCAACGCCACCACTGCAAGCAAGATCTTCACCATCGCCGGTTGCTTCCATATCCATTGAAGCGCGTCCTTCATCGCCGATTTTGAATCTCTCTTGCTCCCATTCTCGAAGAGAAAAGTTGATTATAATTTCCAGGGCTAAAAGGCGGTGCTCTGAAAATGGTGGGCTAAAGGCAGTGTGAGAAAGAGAGAATTTTGGTGAAGACACGAAGAGGGCATGCAGGAGGGTGTGGCAGTGGCATTTAAGGACGTGGATTCCTTTTAAGGCATGGAGATTGACTGAATCGCGAAATTGGTGCGATTGCCTGATTTGGCTGGTGCTGATTTGGTAGCAGTTGGTTTTGTGAATTCCAGATAGATACTTTGCTATTTATGTCGAGATATTAAATGAGTTTCCTTGTAGGTTTTTTTTTTACTGGTCAATATATTGTCTTTTTTAGTTAACAGTGTTTTGTTAGGTTTCATAAATGGATAACTAAAATCTATTTGCTCTGTTTCCTATCACTCAATACTCAAATCCATTAAATTAGAAGTCCGAATCCATCGAGCCCAAAACAAATTCAAAGTTCCAAATCTTAATTCCTAAAATCTGATTCTTCAATAACATTCACGTACACATTATCAGCCATATGAAACACCTTTATTCAACATTTGAAACTTTCGTTCCCTCCTAATATTTATGTCATGGATTTGTTAAACGATATTAATAATTAAGTGATTTATTATTATTATTTAAGGTTTTAGATTTAAACGTTGTGTATACTAGGGATTTATACGCTTATTGTTAATTGATTAAGAGTTTTTTATAATAAAAGTTCGAATAGACATTATTGTAGTATCTTCTTATCCTCTCTATAATATCAGTCTTTACATATTAAAATCTTTAAAAATATTCTTTCTTCATTGATAACTTTTTCATTCGTTGAGGTTAAAATTCTTTCCTACCGGTCATAAACCTTTTCACAAAACTTTTGATAAATTCAAAAGATATGTCAAAACTAAATCTATTAACTGACAATAAAAATCAATGAATTATATTAATTTGTATATAAAATCATCACTTTGTACTTAATAATACAAATATACAAATATACAAAAGTTAGTTAAAATTAAACCCTTATGATAGACAAAAGGTAAAAAAAAAATTATTTATTAAAAAAAAAGGTAAAAAAAAGCTTCTTCCTCATCTTTAACTACCTTTTTCGCTCATATGCCTTTTTTTCATTTCTTTATTATTTTAATTATCTTATATTTATCAACATATTTATAAATTATTTAAAATAAAATATTAATATATTTAAATATGACTTATTTAATAATTTATATTTGACCTAAAAATGATTGAATGGAACTTAAATAATTTACAAATATAAACCTGGATTGACGTTGAGGGCGGCTCTGTGTTTGGGGTTTGGTGGGTTGGTGAGAGAGAGATATCGTTGTCCCACACCGACTATCCTACCAATTTCAGATTTATTCAATAGAACAGATCTTATCTTTGGTCCCTCCATCATTTTTTTGACCCACACATTTACTTTACCTATCTCTCCTTTCCTTATAATAAGTTTTACTCTCATATTTTATTTGTTAGACTTTAAAAGTTTTTAATTTCTTCACTTAATTTAAGACATTGAGTTTTTGAGTCATTTTGTCGTTAATTAGTTAACCGGTGTTAAAATGACATCGTTTTAATTTTTTTTATCAAAACGACGTCGTTTTGCATCTATATAGAAGCCTATTTATATTTTCGTTAGTGAGGAAATGATTGGATGACCAAACAAATCTCAATGTGTTAAATTTAGTGAGAAAATTAAAAAGATTTAAAGTATAATGAGTAAAATAATATATACTAAATTATACGATTATCAAATTTGTAATTTACTCAACTTTAAAATTTACCTCTCGAAGGAACTCGTCTATTAAATGATTTCTTTTTTTTATTTTACAGTAAAATATATGAATGACCCCAACTATAAGATATTATTTTATTGAGTTTATTGACTATTAAAAGTTATAAAATAGTCTTTTGATTATAAGGAGTTATTTTGTTGAGTCCATTGACTATTAAAAGTTACAAATTGATCATTCAATTATTTATTATGTTTCAAACTCATCATTTTTTGTTAAAAAAATAACAATTATATAAGTTGGACGTTAACATGATGCATAAGATATGATAGTCTTGAGATTATGAGAACATATTTTTCTCATATCTTAACCAGTACGTTAACGTACAACTCAGACTGTCCTTAAAATTTTTAGCAAAAATGATGAATTTAGAATATAATTGTTAGTCGCATGATTATTTTGTAATTTCTAATAGTAAATGGAATTAACAAAACAATTTTCTGTAATCAAAATATTATTTTTTTAATAAAAAAAATTATAGTTAAAAGAATCATTTATATATTTTACCCTAGGTTTCAACGAGATATGACTAGGGTTTTTTGACAAAGGAGATATAATCAAGTTTTCTCCTCTCGTTATATCTTAATGTATATACATTGAAATTATGATAAAGTATATAAATGATCATTAATTATAGAATGTTGCTTCATTAAATGTCTTTTAATTATTAAAAAATAAAATATGATTTTTAAAATTATAAGTTGTTATTTTATCGAGTCTCTCGATTATTAAAATTTACAAAATAATTATCTAACTATTTATATATTCTAGTTGAGTCTTCTGACACAGTTGCTTGAACCCACGATCTTGAATAAAAATAATATTCTCTTTAAGTATTGAGGTCGCTTAATAGATTCAACTATAATATTTTTTAAGATTACGCTACGTATATAAATATGTGTCTAATACTAACAGGATTGATTAAAATGATAAGCAATTTAGTATTACTTGAGCAAGCTCGAGTTTAAGGTATTGTATATGCAAAAAATCCCGTTGAGAGATTTATTTAGTAAAATTAGATATAGAATATAGATAAATCCATGAAAATTAAAAAAAAAAATCAAAACATAAATGTTTAATTATTAACATATTATCTGAATTTCAGTGTCAATATACAAAAACAACATCCAAATATTTACAATTTTTTAAAGATTTCATCTATATAATATTAGTAGTAATGGATGAGCAACCAAAACTGTTTCCCTTTCCCCTTTGTTCGTTAGGCCGCCGCCATTGGTGTCCTCTTTTTTCTCGAAGGCAAAGGGCTCTTTAAAGATAACAGAAGCTCCACTTGCAAATTGCTTTTGAATTTGGGTCTGAATTGAAATATCTATTACTTCAACGTTTTTCTCTCCCGCGTAATATTTTTGCTTTTACAAAGCTGTTATTTTTTTATTAAAAAACAATATTAATAATAAACTATATATATCTATATATAAATATATATTATGCAAGTTATGGGATGACAATTGATCGCATTAGGATTGAGTTTTTATGAATATGATTTTATTTGAAAATATGTATCTTTCAATCTGGTTCAAAAATTATACTACATCTATAAAAAAATATTATATTTAAAAAAAACTAAAAAAAGAGGCCAAAACTTTAAAAATCATAATTTTAACTCCTAAACCTACGGCGATCGCCACCCTTTACTATCAACAAACCTCCACCTACCTTCAACTGCACGAGACCATCGATAACTCATTGAAAAGTCACCATAACATGAGCCAATCGACGATTAATTAATGTGTGTACCTTGACGAACCTTGACTTTACAATCATGATCTCACACGATCCCTACGGTTAATCAACGACAAGGATGATGACGTCTGACTTGGAAGATGAGAAGGACGACGTCAACGATAATGATCGTGGCTGGTAAAAATGATGTCGGAGGGTTAGGGATTTAGGGTTTTTTTTATAATTTAAGAAAAATTATGACATTTTTTAAATGATATGAAAAAATATATATTAAAAACTTTCAATCCAATAGCTTTTAAATATATATTTTATAAAATTTATTTTTTAAAAAATATTTAAAATAATTACAGTCAAAGTTTAAAAATATTGACTTTTAAAAAGTTAGAATTTTAATGGGGGGGGGGGGAGTATACTTTTTATCCGATTCAATCCTATTAAAAAAATAGTCTCTATCCGAATATTTAGGATACAAACCTAACATAACTCGAGACAAAATAATAATTTAATTAAAAAGTACTCTTAAAAAAAATTATATTATTATCTTCAAATCGAATGGAATTTTTTTACAATTCACTCAAATACCTCATCCTTTAAAAGATCCGATCTCATCCTAATGAATCTAATTTTCTCTAAAATAAATCTAACTCTATAAAATTGAGTCGAAATTCATACTAAATTGTCATCCCTATGTAAGACATATAGGACGGAGTAGGAGAGGATCCACACATTTCAAAGGCCAACGGCAACCCTACATATCCATCCCATTCCCCTCGGTTCGCCCCCTCCCTCTCCTTCCTCAAAGCTTATATTTTCCTGTGTCTTTATTCACATCTTTCTTTTACATTCCTTGCATCTGGGAGCCTTGGATTTCACCTCTTTCTATTCCAAATCTGGGGTTTTCACCAGCTTTTAGATTGTGTAGTGTATTTTTTTGAGGGATTGAATCAAGGCTTGGGGTTTTCATTATTCTTTCGAGCGTGGTTTTCTTTCATTTGTGGTTTTGTCAATGGGCTCTTTGGATGAGGGCCATTTATGCGTTGAGATTGAGAATGGTTTTGAGAAAGAGCCTGAAACTATAGCTATTGAGGATTCTGTGAAAGTTCTATTGCAGGGTTTGGGTGAGGATGTCAACAGGGAAGGTCTTATGAAAACTCCCCTTCGTGTTGCAAAGGCACTTCGTGAAGGAACCAAAGGTGCTTTTTCTCCCATTTATTTATTCATTCTTCTAAATCCCAGTTTTTTAGTATATTGATTCAGAGCAATTTATCTGAGATCTGCATTAAATATGGGGTTCTTGGCTTTTGTTGATTAAGTATGTTTTAGGCTCCATTTTAACCTTACCATACAAGATAATATGTTGTTTTTACATGTTCTTTTAATGTTCAAATATAAGGTTGTGTTTGTTCACTATATGTATATTCATGTTTATCTCAAGTTTTTGTGCTGAGTTTTGATCCAAGGCTTTTCTCCGACCTTCCTCAGGTTACAAGCAAAAGGTAAAGGATATTGTTGAGGGAGCTTTATTCCCTGAACTGGGTTTACATGATGGGGTTGGTCATGCTGGAGGAGTAGGTGGGCTTGTTATCGTTCGAGATCTCGATCTGTTTTCGTATTGTGAGACGTGTTTGCTCCCGTTTCAGCTTAAGTGTCATGTAGGTTATGTGCCATCTGGTCAGCGGGTTGTCGGATTAAGCAAACTGTCGAGAGTAGCTGATGTTTTTGCGAAACGACTGCAAGACCCTCAGCGTTTGGCAGATGAAATATGTTCGGCTTTGCACCATGGAATCAAGCCAGCAGGGGTTGCTGTGATACTCGAGTGTTTGCACATTCGTTTCCCAAATGTGGAATCAGTCTTGCTCGACTCGAAGCATCAAGGATGGGTAAAAGTGCTGGTGTCTTCGGGTTCGGGGGTTTTCGGAAATGAAAACGCTGATGCTTGGGTTGATTTTCTCGGTCTTCTGAAATTCAGAGGTGTGACTGTGGAGAAAATTCTCACCAGGGACTCTATAAGACAAAGTTGGTGCCCTTCACACTCTTCATCTATGGCTCAAATTTCGTCCGAGCTTGTAACAGCCAACCCTGATATGGTTGCTGCGGTAGCATCAATACTCAGATCTTTGGGTGAAGATCCATTAAGAAAAGAGCTTGCAGAAACTCCTGTCCATTTTGTGAGGTGGTTGATGAAATTTAAGAATGCGAAGTCGGAGATGAAGCTGAATGGCTTCACTTGTGGCATAACCGTTCTCCTTAAATCCAACGGGGAAGTCGGCTTGCGCAGCAACAAACATATGCATTCGGAGTTGAACCTGTCATTCTGGTCACAATGCGAACATCATCTGCTTCCATTTTACGGTATGGTCCATATTGGATACTTGTGCCCTAAAGGATTCAATCATGTCGGGAGGTCCCTTTTGCAGTCGATCATACATTTTTATGGCTTCAAGCTCCAAGTGCAAGAAAGACTTACCAGGCAAATAGCCGAAACGTTTTCGTCAATCTTAGGTGGGGATATCATGGTCGTCGTGGAGGCTAACCACACCTGTATGATTTCTAGAGGGATCAAGATGTTCGGCAGTAACACAGCCACCATCGCCGTGCTCGGCCAATTTGCAACCGATCCGGCTGCTAGGGCGATGTTTTTACAGAGCATTCCAGACGGCACTGCATCTCAAATATCATAGGTACTCTTTTTACAGAGTTATTCTTTGCCTCGGTTCATGCTTTCCCAGTATACAGCAGTGCCGAAAAGTGGTATAATTTTATATTTTATTACACAAAAGAAACCTGCTTGGTGCCCGTTATGTTCCAAATCCAGCTTTGATTATTGAAGGCATTTTTACATAATTAAGTTCAAATAAAATATTTTATAGTTAACATCTGAATTGTTGGTGGTTAGTTACTGTTATATGTTTTTATCTTCTTTAAGAATTAGAGATGTTCAATACATCAATACATTTTAATAACTAAACAAATAGTTTATGGTTTGAGCACGCAAAGATAATTGAACGGCTTATTGTTAAATAATTGAAAGTACTTTAGGACATATACTATTTATATTCACCTTAGCTTATTAAAAAAAACTTTCAATAACATTACATCTAACATTGTTCACATGCAAAATACAAGAAAGTTTAAGAAAACAAATACTGGCACACCAACGCTTGTATTGTTCAGAAAACTGAGTACCTGTTAATATACAAATGGTTCATTATCTAGGGCTCCACAATGATCTTGCCGGTGGCGTGACCGTCGATGCTCTTGGCCCAAGCCTCTTCAGCCTTGCTTAGAGGATGAGTTGAATCGATTACCGACTTAAGCTTTCCTGCTTGTGCTAACTTAACTAGATAATTGAGGTTATCTTGCTTAACCGCCGTGAACAATGGCAGCAGTTTCTTCTTCGCGAACGTGATCTTTTTCATGGCAACACTCATCAGGGTACCAAAACCAGGAGTGGTATCCACTACCTTTCCTTTTGAAGTCAAGTTAGCCTCGAAGGTAGACCAAGGAATGTTGGCCGTACAGTGGATGATTATGTCATACTTTCGACCGGAAGGGCTCTTCAGAGCAGCGCCTTCGGGAGTCTTGTAGTCGAGAACCTCATCGGCCCCCAGGCTCCTGACTAAATCCATGTTACGAGCCCCGCAGGTGGCGGTCACGTGTGCATTTGCAAGCTTTGCCAGTTGAACCGCATATGTACCTACACCACCTGAAGCAGCGGTGATCAGGATGTTCACTTGGGGACCGCTTCCATCAAGTTTGAGTCCGGCGAGCTTGGTGAGGACTGGTGAGCTGCGAGGCCGGCAATTGGCAAAGCCGCGGCATCAGCGGCGGATACCTCTGGAGGCCTTGGAACTGTCGAACCCGAATGAGCCACAGCAAATTCAGCAAGTGCACCTCCATTCTGCCATTGCAAAATGCATCCATATCGTGAAACTTGTATGGCTTGAACCAACAAAATTTGAACAAGTAATATGAATAAGAAAGAGTACTTACACCAAGCGTGGCAACAATTTTATTCCCAACTTTGAAATTGATGACTCCGGCTCCAACCTGTACGATTTCTCCGGCAGCATCCGTACCGGGAATGTGGGGGAATTTGCGAGGTAAAAATGGGCGGGCTATACCATTTTGTATTTTCCAGTCGATTGGGTTAATACTAGCCGCCTCCACTTTGATCAACACTTCATCCTTTTTTGGACTGGGAATCGGAACTTCAACGTGCTGCAACAAACATCAAATTCACAACTCAAATTCGGATTCCATTCGAACTTAGAAAATCTAAATATTTAATAAACAATCAAAATTCACAACATCTCGATCTCACTGGAAACGTTTGAATATTTTGAATTTATAGTAAAGTGATCCACACATGAAACGTTTGAAATCTTTCTTTCAAATCCAGATCGACATAAAGCGTTGAATTTTTATCGGTCTACAGTCAGAGTAATGTTTTTCTATGAATTGCTTGGATGATATATTTATCAAATGAAACTGGACTTGCATTCTTATCATTTCTTTTTCTCGTCTAATTATTAAAACAAAGAATTATTAATCTTATTATATCTATATTTCCCGGTCTGGCGGCTATTTCTTTTCAATTACATTAAACGGCGACTTGGCACTTCCAGGTTGGTGTTGCTTTTCCTTTATAAGCTAGTCTCCAACACCACAAGAATTATTCTTATCTATTATATCCATTGTTGATCATCAAAGTGTTTGAATTGAAACTTTACGACATTTGATTAATTCTTATTTTAATAAAGTTTGTTTTCAGCATCTAACCTTATTATTTTTATGGATCGTTTAGTTCACGGAATATGAGATTATCATAATATTATATTACTTAACGTATGTTTGACTTGTTTGAGAGAGAGATGAAATTATAATGTTTGATTGAACAAGATAAGAAAAATATTTATTTTATCAAATTATTCCTGAGATATATTTTCTTTTATAACAAATTTAATTCTCAATATTAAAACCAAAATATTTACATGAAAGTTCACAAAAATATTATTTTTTATATTCTTGTAAAACTCAAAACATCATGTCAGTGACTAAAATATAAGGATTTAAAATTTAGCGGTTAAATTTGAATAAATTGAAAAGTTTAAGGACTGAATTTAGAATTTGTGTCTAGGACTTATTATCAAAGATGGAAGAATGAAAGGGCATTATGGTTGTATGCACCCATTTTTGTCCAGATCTTAAAAATTATTATTATTATTAATTATTTTATTTACATTTTGCAGATTATAAATTTGGCCCAAATGAAGCCCAAACAATTATAATCACCTTAGCCAACCCAGTTACAAGCCAACCCATATGACCCAACAACCCAACATTCAATCCGATCCGGTCATGTATGTCCATATAAGATTTTATTTGTTTGAACATAGTGTGATAATATTTAGGTTTAATACTAAAATAAGTGTCAATTTATACCTAAAATCTTGAATATGTGCCTAAACTATTTTTTGAGTCATTCAAGTGCTTAACGTTACAAACATTACCCATTTAGGTGTCGGAGTCATCAATGACGTTAATTTCTCCATTAAATGACACATGTCATAATATGGTGCTTTTAAAAATTTTATTTAAAATTTTTAAATAAAATTATATTTTTTTAAAGAAAAAAACATAAAAACTTTGAAATAACTCAAAAACTTTGAAAATTTTCATTTCAACCCCTAAACCCACGCCAACCATCGCGCTTTGCCGTCAACGAAGCTCCACTCGACCTCGACGGTCAATCGACGACAACTATGATGGCGTATGACTAGGAGGATGGTAAGGACTACGTCGGCGGCGGTGGTCGTGGCCGGAAAGGGGGGTGATGGCGGAATAAGGATAGGATTTTGGGATTTTAGATATTTGGGGGCATTTTATAATTTAAGAGAAATTAGAGTTTTTTTTAAATATAATAATATTTTAAAAAATAAATTTTAAAATCACCAGATTATGACATGTGTTACTTGACGGTGGAAATTAACGCAGTTGACGACCCGGGAACCTAAATGGATAATGTTTGTAACGTTAGGCACCTGGATGAGTAAAAAAATAGTTTAGTCAACTATTCGAGATTTTAGGTATAGTTTGAACACTTATTTTGGTATTAACCTAATATTTCTTATATATATTATGAGAATATACATTGATGTTAAATTTTCTCAAATAGATTTTTTTTTTGAATTGAAATGAAGATTACAAGGCTAAAGGATTGTCCCTGGTGTCGGCTAAGACCAGCTTGCTAATGTCCCCAGGAGCAGCGTCAAAATAAGCAATTTCAGCTAAGTTCACAGGGGCCAATTTGGCAAGAGCGTCGGCCACAGAATTGCCAGAACGAGGTGCCCAGCGAATACAGTCTCCCAAGCTTTATTTCTCCAGAAAGCGATAGCTCGAACTAAGGAAAAAGGGGCTGTTCGACGCATCCACAGAATCAATGACAATGAGTCGCACGGTTTGAGCACAATCGGTCTGAATTTCCAATTTAGTAACACGGCAATCCCACGCCATACGAAGTCCCTCATAGATACCCCAAAATTTGGATTGAAGAATAGAGGAGGTACCAAGATGCTTGCTAAATCCAATGATCCATGTGCCATTGGAGTCTCGTAAAATGCCACCGGCAGAGCCTATCGAGCTCCCAGAGGAAACCCCACCATCACAATTCAAGCAAAATAATCCCTCAAAGGGTCTTCGCCAGCCAATATAACCGTGAGCATATCCAGCTTTGGAGGTTTGTTTTCAAAGCAGCACGCCCAGCTATAAGCATGTTGGAAAACAGCCTGTAGAGGTCAAGATTCACCACTAAAAGTTTCCTCGTTTTGGCACTTTCAAAGCTGCCATAGAATGAAGGCAAAGAGTGAGGACCAAGGAACTTCATAACCAGGAGTAGTGGTTGAAATGGCAAGGTTAGACAGTAACCATGGGATGAGATCCAAAGAGAAGAAATTTGTGATCTTCGATGTGGGGAGGATACCATTCCAAAAGCGAAAAACATCTGGGCAGCCCCTTAGGACATGGAGGATTGTTTCGTGCGGAGCATTATAGGCGATACAATTAGAATTATGAGAGAGATTCCTACGAACTCTCTTTGTTGATGAAAACGGGTAAAGAAAACAAAAGAACATGAGAATTTTACGAGGTTCGGCAATGTGCTTACGTCCTTGGTGCCTAGGCGGCGCTAGAAGTTTTATTCAATCATATTTTAGGTCTAGGTTACATCTCTATTTATAATAGAAAACCCTGGTACATAATTACAAAATCAACCCTGTACCGTACCACGGGGGTTGCGCCCCCGCACCCCCAACCCATATAATTCGTAACCCCACAACGAGACTTTCTTTGTAAGGACAGTTGATGTTCTCTTCGCTCACTCCGCTCCATCTCCTGTCCTCTTTACTGGTATATTTATGAGCCATACCTAACAAATCTCCACCTTGGCGAATATCCTGCCCCTTGGAAACTTCAATGTGGGTTGGGTTACCTTGCTTCTTTAACAACTCGAAACATTCAACAAGTCCAAGAAATGCTTGAACTTGTCTGTCGTAACTGGCTTGGTGAACATATCAGCGGCATTCTCATCAGTATGTACCTTCTGAAACAAAACCTCTCCAGATGCAACCAACTCTCTGATCTTGTGGAACCTTACATCAATATGTTTAGTTCTAGCACGATACACCTGATTCTTAGCCAAGTGAATAGCACTTTGATTATCACAAAGCAACTGAACTCCACCTTGTTGAACACCCAACTCCTTCACTAAACCAGTAAGCCATAA